AGCATCCATCCCCATGGCTGGGGTTGCTGAGGCAGGCACCGGTGATGCCGCTCCCTCAGCACTCTCTACCCCGAGCAGCAAAAGCCCCACGGCAATGGCCATGGCAGGCACTGCGTCACCCATAGCTCTGGAGCCAGTTACAGCACCTTCCCCTGGCCTTGCTCACAGTACCGCTGAGCCACATGTCAGTGTGTCACCTCCTGTTCCCAGGAACACCCAGCCATCAGTAGCAGCATCCTCCATTGCCTCCAGTATCACTGTCACTGGTCCAGCAGCAGGAACAGGCAATGCCAGTCTTGGGAGGGTAATGACACCCCCCTCTGCTGTCCCCAGCAGCACCTCTGCTCTGTACAACCCCCATGTCAACCCGAGGACAGCTCCTGAGTCCACCGAAAGTTCCCGTGACCCAGCTTTGTGGGCTCCCAGCCCAGCGACTGAGGACAAGCCCTCGGCTGGGGTCTCCTCGCTCGCTGTTGGCCACACACACACATGGGTGACTACAGCTGTGTCCTGGTCAGGTGCCGGTGGTACCACCACTGGGGAACTCACGACCCCCTCTGAAAGTGGCGCCGAGGGTGCAGCACCCCCAGCCAGCACCAAGAGCACCCACGTGCCTGTCTTTAACAGCATTGGCACAAGCTCGACCACCACACCAGACACCAGTGTGTCACCCAGCAACACCATCCATCCAGCCAGCTCAGCCAGCAAGGAGACCTTCATGGTGACGGGGACCACTGAAGCCGTGCTGTCTGCCATGGTAAAGGCCACCAGCACCAGCAGTGCCCTGTCCCCCACTGTCACACATGATGAGGCAGGCGGAGGAGGGCGACCTGTCCTGTCCCCAGCAGCACATACCCCCATCATGAAGACAACTGCCAGGTCCTGGCGCATCCTTGGTCCCAGCCATGCCATCACGGTGCCTGGTACAGCCCTCCCCAGCCTGCACAGACCTGCGGAGGTGCCAGCAACATCCCCCTCATCCCCGCTTGAAGTTGGTGCAACTGAGGAGGTGGCAACTGGACAGACCCTCCCTGGGCCAGCAACAAACGCCACTTCTCCCACAGCTGTTGGCAACCGTGTTGTGGGACCAGCAGGACACATGTCACCTCCTGGAAGCTGGACATCCCCGGGGGCATCTGCCTGGGGGGAGAAAACAGCCATCGCTGCAGGCAGCTCCACAGCC